TATGGGGAACCATTCTTTAATATTACATTGCGGATAGCATTTGACATCTCTGTCGGCATGGCGGACTCAAATGCAAGAAAAATAGACAGGTATTTGTTGTAAAATTCTACCTTAATCATCACCTTTTCGTTGTATATTGATAAAAATATTATTACTGATGGGTGGAACTTGCGACATAATGTTCATTGACACCTAATGTTTTAATTTTCATTTTGAATTTTAATAGCCTTTCGGATAGTCGTATTTTCGGATAGCATATCTGAGCAGGGCTCTCGTTAGCATTTTGAGACTGGGGCCAGGGTCCATGCAGGGGGTGGGGGATTTTGCATGATTTCAAATATTTTTCATCCAAAGGGGAATTTCCACAGAGGAAATTTAATTCAGAAGAAAAAACAGAAAAAAGTGAATGTAAGATTCAGTTAACAAATAAACATCATTAAGCTGCTTTCATGAAATATTTCTGTTATTTTTTGCGGTACGACTTGAAATCGTGCGACATGTTGGAATGCTAAAACCCGACCGGAACATTTTATTTATATATACATACTTATTTCCAATTGCCGTTCGCGGAATACTTACTAATTTCCGGTTGCCGTACGCGGAATATGCTTCGCCGATCGGCGTTTTCTATGGCCGTTAAAAATTAATTTCAAGGGATTTCAAGGGGGATTTTTTTGGTTTTAGGGGGAAAAAAACACACTTTTTGTGGTGGGGGAATGGGGCCGATATTCGGCCCCAAATTTTACCAAACGAGAGCCCTGCTGAGGGTGAACGATTGAATGCAAATACTGCCGAAAGATACCCAAATATTGTCCAAATATCACACATACATAAACTTTAGGTAAAATTAATGCAAGAAATAATTAATGCCTTTATCTATATGTTATAATGCCAGTTGATTTTTTTTAAATTTCAGTTTTGGCAACCGCCATTTATGGCAGTTTATCAGTGGGACAGGCATCCTCAGGCCAAGGGTATTGACTTGAAATTAATTTCTTCAGAAATCATTGTTTTATTTATCATTGTAGATAAAGTTTGTTATCTTGTTACAGTAGTTTGCTCCCTTCCGAACCTTAATAAACCTCATGTTTTGCTAATCAGGCCACATAACATCCCTTGAAATAGCATGTTTTCTGTGTCATGCACCGCTGTTGCCTATCCCCACTAGTTTGCTATTAACCTATTGTAATCAATCTATGACTTCTTAATCATATTGTCAAGTCTGAGGTTATTAAACTGTACCCTCTCCTTGTTGATCTAGCCATGTTGTTTAACTTTTTACTGTTTAACTTTAACACTGAGGTAAGGCCTAAAAAAATAATGTTTTGTTAGGGTAACATGCTCTCAATGAAAAGGTAGGGTAGGTCTGATTTTTTTTTTTTTTTTAAATCCTGATAAAATGTTCTGTCCAATATGTAAAGTAATGGGTATTCAAAGTACTGCCAGTAGATCTAGTGGTGGGTGGGGGTACGGAAAACGGCACATTTCAATAATATATTCATCTACATGGTACGTCTGCGCAATCAAACTTGATTAACAATGCGACGTGATTAATATTATACTTTGTTTTGGTAGACTCCTACTTGCCTGATTCATAGTACTTACCATTCATTTGATTCAAATATACCTTATTCTGAAGAAGGTAAAGCCTCTAAATCTCTCAAGAATTTCAAGGACCGGGACGTCATACAAATTGTCCTCCTTTAACGCCGTCCATAGACCCTTTTCGGATGTAGATATGGAAATTTCTGACATCCCTCCCGGGTGGCACAAATACATCCCTTCTATGTTTTCAAAAGACATTTTAGGTGTAACAATCTTAAACTCTCGGGGGTTCTGCCATTTGGTGAAGATGACACGCCGTTTTACAAATATTGACAATGTGATCCGCCATTTTGTAACTAAGAGCGGCGATAAAACCTATACCGTACCGTACTTCAATACGGTATTTTCATCAATTTTTTTTTTATACCCCCGCACAACAAAGTTGTAAGGGGGGTATACTGGAATCAGCTTGTCCGTCCGGCTGTCTGTCCGTCCGGCCGTCCGTCGGTTTTTTCTTGTCCGCCCAATAACTTAAGATTCCTTTGACCCTTAGTCTTCATATTTGGCATGGAGGTTAGTCATGATTAGTAGATGACCCCTATTGATTTTGAGGTCACTAGGTCAAAGGTCAAGGTCACGGGCCTTGACTTCAAAAAGCTTGTCCGCCCAATAACTTAAGATTCCTTTGACCTACAGTCGTCATATTTGGCATGGAGGTTAGTCATGATAAGTAGATGACCCCTATTGATTTTGAGGTCAAAGGTCAAGGTCACAGGGGCCTTGACTTCAAAAAGCTTGTCCGCCCAATAACTTAAGATTCCTTTGACCTACAGTCGTCATATTTGGCATGGAGGTTAGTCATGATTAGTAGATGACCCCTATTGATTTTGAGGTCACTAGGTCAAAGGTCAAGGTCACAGGGGCCTTGACTTCAAAAAGCTTGTCCGCCCAATAACTTAAGATTCCTTTGACCTACAGTAGTCATATTTGGCATGGAGGTTAGTCATGATTAGAAGATGACCCCTATTGATTTTGAGGTCACTAGGTCAAAGGTCAAGGTCACAGGGGCCTTGACTTCAAAAAGCTTGTCCGCCCAATAACTTAAGATTCCTTTGACCTACAGTCGTCATATTTGGCATGGAGGTTAGTCATGATTAGTAGATGACCCCTATTGATTTTGAGGTCACCAGGTCAAAGGTCAAGGTCACAGGGGCCTTGACTTCAAAAAGCTTGTCCGCCAAATAACTTAAGATTCCTTTGACCCACAGTCTTCATATTTGGCATGGAGGTTAGTCATGATTAGTAGATGACCCCTATTGACTTTGAGGTCACCAGGTCAAAGGTCAAGGTCACAGGGGTCTTGACTTCAAAAAGCTTGTCCGCCCTATAACTTAAGATTCCTTTGACCCACAGTCTTCATATTTGGCATTGAGGTTAGTCGTGATTAGTAGATGACCCCTATTGACTTTGAGGTCACCAGATCAAAGGTCAAGGTCACAGGGGCCTTGACTTCAAAAAGCTTGTCCGCCCTATAACTTAAGATTCCTATGACCCACAGTCTTCATATTTGGAATGGAGGTTAGTCATGATTAGTAGATGACCCCTATTGATTTTGTGGTCACCAGGTCAAAGGTCAAGGTCACAGGGGCCTTGACTTCAAAAAGCTTGTCCGCCCAATAACTTAAGATTCCTATGACCCACAGTCTTCATATTTGGAATGGAGGTTAGTCATGATTAGTAGATGACCCCTATTGATTTTGAGGTCACTGGATCAAAGGTCAAGGTCATAGGGACTTTGACTTCAAAAAGTTTGTCCACCCATTAACTTAAGATTCCTTTGACCCACAGTCTTCAAATTTGGCATGGATGTTGATCATGACTATAAGGTGACCCCTATTGATTTTGAGGTCACTGGGTCAAAGTTCAAGGTCACAGGGACCTTGACAAAAAAAAAAGCTTTTCTTCTCAATTGCTAAAGAATGTCCTGTCTGCAATGTATTGATTTTGACATTTTCACATTTGAAGCATGTAGAATACATAACTTAGCAATGCACTGGCTTAGTAACCTCAGATTTGGCAGGGAGGTTGTCCTTGCGCTCTAAATGGCCACTGTTGATTCTGACAAAGTGGTATGCGGGGGTATTCACGCCAAGATAGTGGCAGTTCTAGTTTTTTTGTTTTTTTTTTTTTTCACACGAAAAAAACGGTATGGTTGGCATATATAATTAGGTAGGGTTGGGTGACCCGAACAAAACAATTTTTTTTTTTAAGGCTTAAGTCAATTTGCTTTACGATTGATACCTTTTAAGCATAAAAACCCAAACAATATAACAAATAAATCATGAATCTTTATCGAAACAGCGGATGGTGCATCATGTGCTCTCCTGCGGGATATATTCTTGTGAATGTGAACAATTACATCACGAAAACTGGTGACTTGAGGGTATCTTTAGCTTGAATTGTGTGTTTTCAAAAAAGATTAATTATCATTTGACTCACAATGTTTGTGAACAAAGGGTTCAAAACTTCTGTATTTGTTTATTTTTATTCAAAAAGGAAGGCAATAGATACTATTAATCAGTTAATTACATGAACAAAGTAGATTTTAAATATTTATATTACAAGTAGAGAAACTGATAGCAAACAGCATGGATCCTGATCAGACTGTACGGATGCTCAGTCTGGTCTGGATCCATGCTGGTTGCAAACCCACTATGTTGGTTTTGTCATGACGTGGCTCATTTTGTAATATTTTCATTTCAGGAGCTGATAAAGAGGGAAATGACAAGAAATACAGAGAAAATTTTAAATGGCCTGTTGTTTTATAAAAAGCCCAGGTACTGATATATCTTATACTTATGACAAGTAGGTTTGAATCCCGATTTTTGTTATCTGAAAAAATTATCCAGATAAATTTTCTTTTGATTTTCAAAATTGTATATGTAATTATGAATATGTTCTTCAAAAAGAAGCAACATTTCCTGTACCTAGGAGTCCTTGCCCGCTATTAGGTTATAAGTGCCCTGTATAAAATTAAATGTATGCTTTATTCCATAAACAGCACGATATGGCCAGTTATATGTTGACATGTGGTAAAAATCCAAACAAACAAACAATTATTCCATGAACCTTGCCACTGAGAGTCCATGAGTACTGAAACCATGGTTATAAAAGGTGTTGTGAAATGGTACTGAACAAAAGAAATGAATTATATTTATGATGAAATAAATTTAACATCAAACTTGACACAGATATAAACGAAGACATGTGGCAATATTTATTAGAATTATAAACAAAGTCTGGTTATTTCCGGATCGTCCCATGTAATGACATATACATTGTATATACTTCTGTTTAAGGGCACCTCAAGGGGATTTGCTGAAAGACAAAAATCTACAAAAACAACAGAAAGACTTTGTTCTCAAGTTAACAACATTCTTGGTAAGATATTTTTTATAGAAGTTAGAACTAATTTTTGGATTAAAAATTTGACAATATAATAATAATAATAAGATATATGTACACTATGCATTAAATCTGAAATGCTTATGTGATAATGTCTTAGTTTTAGCCTTCTAAACATTTTGGCTAGACTGTCCACAGCTATTTTTTAGATAATGATTTTTCCCAATTTTATTTCTTTAATATTTATGTTTTTCTACAAAATCACTCAGATTACTGCTAGGTTAAGGTAAGGGTTAGTGTTGTGGGTTAGAACATGAATTTTGCTGCGGACAAATTCTAAAAATGCTCCAATGTTTTGTATGGATTTCAATTACATGTAATGATGTATCAGTTTTGGGAAAACAAGATGAAAATTTGAATTTGTTAAGCCTGGTAAGAAGGTTGTTCTCAAAGTTTGTTCAAACATGCTGTACATACATTTATATTTGATAAAAAAAAAGCAGTCTCAGTATAGCAACACCTCATAGGAACAACCATGGCAACATGGCTGAGTGGTTAACGCTTCGGACTAGTAATCTAATTATCGTAAGCTGCCTGGGTTCAAACCTTACAAGGGGCCAGTCGTTGTTTCCTTGTCGAGCAAGAAACTTTACACTCATTGCTCAGTACTGGTTGGTTCCAGGTCCAGGGACAGATTGGAAAGTGTGTTAATAAGCTAATAGCTTCCTTCACAATCAAACTAAAATAAAATCTGTATAAACCAACCTTTTGTCATGTCAAGGGTGTTGCTATGCACAGGTAGTACTGTACTATAAGTTTATTGATGTAACATGACAGTGTCACTGTGACTCTGAAATTGACTGTTGAACAAAATCAGGTTTGCCTGAACTATACACCAAAATTTTGAGTGTCATCTCTATGCATTTTGACGATTTTGTATATATTTTGTTTCAGAACTTAGAAGAAGATCAGAGCTATGAGGTGTTCTTTTCTTACCTTTCCCAGGATTTTAGAGGCTCTGAAAAAAATCTGCAGGTGATATATTGTTCCACCAATATTTGTCTTATATATAATAATGAGTATAATGATACTGTAATGATGATGTAATGATAATATAATGGTATAGTAATGATATAATGATGTTGTAATGATAATATAATGGTAAAGTTATGATGTAATAATGTTGTAATGATAATATAATGGTGAAGTTATGATGTAATGATGATGTAATGATAATTTAATGATATTGTAACAATATAATGATAATATAATGATATTGTAACAATATAATGATAATATAATGATAGTGTAACAATATAATGATAATATAATGATAGTGTAACAATATAATGATGATTTAATGATAGTGTAACAATATAATGATAATATAATGATAGTGTAACAATATAATGATAATATAATGATATTGTAACAATATAATGATAATATAATGATAGTGTAACAATATAATGATAATATAATGATAGTGTAACAATATAATGATGATTTAATGATAGTGTAACAATATAATGATAATATAATGATAGTGTAACAATATAATGATAAAATAATGATAGTGTAACAATATAATGATGATTTAATGATAGTGTAACAATATAATGATAAAATAATGATAGTGTAACAATATAATGATAATATAATGATAGACATTAGTGTAACAATATAATGATGATTTAATGATAGTGTAACAATATAATGATAATATAATGATAGTGTAACAATATAATGATAATGTAAGGATAGTGTAACAATATAATGATAATATAATGATAGTGTAACAATATTATGATGATTTAATGATAGTGTAACAATATAATGATAATATAATGATAGTGTAACAATATAATGATAGTATAATGATAGTGTAACAATATAATGATAATGTAATGATAGTGTAACAATATAATGATAATGTAATGATAGTGTAACAATATAATGATAATATAATGATAGTGTAACAATATAATGATAAAATAATGATAGTGTAACAATATAATGATAATGTAATGATAGTGTAAAAATATAATGATGATATAATGATAGTGTAACAATATAATGATAATATAATGATAGTGTAACAATATAATGATAATGTAATGATAGTGTAACAATATAATGATAATATAATGATAGTGTAACAATATAATGATAATATAATGATAGTGTAACAATATAATGATGATTTAATGATAGTGTAACAATATAATGATAATATAATGATAGTGTAACAATATAATGATAATGTAATGATAGTGTAACAATATAATGATAATATAATGATAGTGTAACAATATAATGATAATATAATGATAGTGTAACAATATAATGATAGTATAATGATAGTGTAACAATATAATGATAGTGTAACAATATAATGATAATATAATGATAGTGTAACAATATAATGATAATATAATGATAGTGTAACAATCAAATGATGATTTAACGATGATGGTAAAAAGTTGCTTCATCCAATCATTCTATAATGATGATATGAGGCAAACCTGATGTCTTTCTATAGCTGTATAAATGAAGAAAACTCAATCCCGCAGCAGCAAACACCCGTACACAAGAATGAGGATAGAGAGATGTAACTGGAGAGTGAGAGAAGTCAATTATGTAGTCATTATGATTGAAAATCAGTGACTTGAACAATTTTGTATGCTTAATTGGCCGGGTTGCACTGGTGCAAACCCGGGTTATAGTATTGTGAATGTTGGGCGGCGGGCGGCGGGCAGGGAAAAACTTTTGTAACAGTTTTCTCAGCAACTACTTATCACAGCCTTTTGATATTTGGTATACAGCATCAACACATGGTCCCATACTGTGGGATTCGATTTAAGGTCGGTCACTCATCTACTTCCTGTTTGCTGACCTAGTTAAATTTTCAACATTAATGGTCAATAGCAGGAAATTTTCGTAACAGTTTTCTCAGCAACTACTTATCACAGCCTTTTGATATTTGGTATTCAGCATCAACACATGGTCCCATACTGTGGGATTCGATTTCAGGTCTGTCGCTCATCTACTTCCTGTTTGCTGACCTAGTTAAATTTTCAACATTAATGGTCAATAGCAGGAAATTTTCGTAACAGTTTTCTCAGCAACTACTTATCACAGCCTTTTGATATTTGGTATACAGCATCAACACATGGTCCCATACTGTGGGATTTGATTTCAGGTCTGTCGCTCATCTACTTCCTGTTTGCTGACCTAGTTAAATTTTCAACATTAATGGTCAATAGCAGGAAATTTTTGTAACAGTTTTCTCAGCAACTACTTATCACAGCCTTTTGATATTTGGTATACAGCATCAACACATGGTCCCATACTGTGGGATTTGATTTCAGGTCTGTCGCTCATCTACTTCCTGTTTGCTGACCTAGTTAAATTTTCAACATTGATGGTCAATAGCAGGAAATTTACGTAACAGTTTTCTCAGCAACTACTTATCACAGCCTTTTGATATTTGGTATACAGCATCAACACATGGTCCCATACTGTGGGATTCGATTTCAGGTCTGTCGCTCATTCACTTCCTGTTTGCCGACTAAGTTAAATTTTCTACATTTATGGTCAATGGTAGGAAATTTTCATAACAGTTTTCTTGGCAACTACTAATCATAGCCTTTTGATATTTTGTATACAGCATTATCACATGGTCCCATACTGTGGGATTAGATTTCAGGTCTGTTGCTCATCCACTTCCTGTTTGCCGACTTAGTTAAATTTTGACATAATTAATGATCAATAGATAGTAGGAAATTTTCGTTACAGTTTTCTCAGCAACTACTTACCACAGCTTCTTGATGTGTGGTTCACAGCATTGACATGTGGTCCCATATTGTGGGATTCCATTTCAGGTCTGATGCTCATTACAGGCTGTCAACCAATTCCTATATTCCTATAAAACTCCTATATTTTGAGTCGGAATCCTATATTTTAAAAAGCCTCCTATTTTTCCTATATTCTCCTATATTTTGAATATTTTTCCTATATTTTTTAAAAAATATATTGCCGAGGAATTCAAAGAGATTTAAATTTTGGTACTGCTTTTGGCTTTTTCTATTTTACAGGTAAGATAATGTCTATGCCTGCATCAGCATCACATTACTATGCTCAAGGCTGCTGTGCTCCACATAGCGATCGGCATGGTCACCATGAAAAGCAGTGCATCAGTATGTCAACTTTATTTCAGGTGACCATTCAGATGATGGTCTTGCATTGCTGTAACTTTCTGTCGGGATGCTGATGCTGTGGTTCAAAGCTAATGCAGGCTGTCCGCTGTGTCCCTAAAATTCCTAACAAAATCCTAATTTTTTTAGTTTGGCTAAAATTCCTAAAAAAGTGAAAAATTCAAAGGGAATTCCTAGGGATGCCCTATTTTTTCACTGAAATTCCTCATTTTTTATCTTTTGTTATAAACATACTTATAACTCGTAACCCTGTCAAAATAATCACGGAATAACTAAGTCGACCATGTTTTGAACATGATCAAAAATGATTTGGCCATGATTTGCCAACTCAAAATTGATGACATTGAAATGGTTTCGTTTTAACTAAAAGTTACTTTGACTATGTCAGTAACATTGCTATTTCATAATCAAAGCAGTTGTTGATAATCATGTTGACAGATTGATAATCATGTTGACAGCAAAAATACTACCATATTATGGTCCTGAAACTCAAATCATAACCATAAGAGTCCACTTATTCTGGAATATTTTGACACTCTTTTGCCAACTCCAGATATCTTGAATTTTATGTTTGTTCATTTTATCCAAATTTCTGAAGTGGGTCATTTATATCATATCATATTTAAAAATGATCATTATGAAGCTGTTGTAACGCAATCTTAATTAAAAACATGTATAAATAGTTGTCAAAAATTAATGTACAATTTGTTTACTCACAACTCTTTTATTTAAATCTGCATAATATCGAAACAACATTGTAAAGTACTGAACTTTGAAAAATTCTTTCCCTCATACTTATTTATCCTTTTCGATGACTTTGTAGGAGAAATTGTTTATTTTGCCACAAAGTTTTTAATTTCATTCAATTCTTGTTCTTTCATTCAAATGGTGCAATTTAGGAAAATGCAGACTCATATAATTAATCACACTAAAATAATTTGGCAGTTCAGTAATATAATGCTCATTTCCAGTTACCATGTACACACATTTTGAAATTATGTGATCTAGAGAAACTGCAATTGAATGGTCTGTGTGATGAACTTTTTTGATGTGCAATTCTTTGTGTTGATTATAGATGCTTCCCATTTATTCAAATGACTGTACTAAGGCAAATGCCTTTTTCCTTTCTACTTGTACAAAAAAATTCATTTGTCCATATCCCAAGCTGCATTGTGCAAGAATTTCACTGTATAAGAATTCCTTTTAGACACTTGTGGTTATAACATTCCGAAAACATAGGTAAAACATGTTCTTTTTGACATGTTCAGCCAGTTTAAAAAAATATGGTTTGAACATGATTTGACTAAGACCATTTATGCAGGGAAGGCAGTTGACCAGTGAGTCCACACTGGTAGCACCTTTGCTCTAACTAAACTAGAAAATTATTTGTGAGTTACTTTTGTGTCAAATATGTGTCCTTTGGGACCTGAGTTTATTTAGTTATAAAATTATAAATTTTAGCCCTAAAATTTCTATTACATACCCTAACATTCCTAATTTAAGCCCTAAAATTTCTGAAATATTACCCTAAAATTCACCCTAATTTTATGTCGGAAGGTGCTGGACAGCCTGCTAATGGTGTCCTTCACTTATACGGTAGACATTTTATTGTAGAAACAGCATGTGTAAAAGTTAGACTAATTTATATAAGCATTGGTAAGTTAAACAATTTAAGTTGAAAACTCCTATTTTTTTTCTCAAAATGGTCCAAAAACTCCTATATTTCCTGCAAAAATATTCCTATATTCCTCCTTTATTTTTGATAAGACCTGGTTGACAGCCTGTCATTACCAACTAAGTTAAATTTTCAACATCAATGGTCAAGACAGTGGTAGAAAATTTAAGTAACATCACAGCCTCATGATATTTTGTATACATATGCCTTTTCTGTCTTTGACCCATTTTTATATGAAAAAAATTGCAAATTTTCCTCTATCACTAATAAAGTCTTTAAAGGAATTATTTTTCAATTTTTGCTATGTGGAATTAAGTCCATAACAAGCAATATTTATCAAATTATGACAAAATGAGTTGTATATTCTACTTGTATTGTTGTATATTCTACTTGTATTGTTGTATATTCTACTTCCATTGTATATTCTTCTTGTATTGTTGTATATTCTACTTGTATTGTTGTATATTCTACTTGTATTATTGTATATTCTACTTGTATTGTTGTATATTCTACTCATATTGTTGTATATTCTACTTGTATTGTTGTATATTCTTCTTGTATTGTTGTATATTTCACTTGTATTGTTGTATATTCCACTTGTGTTGTTGTATATTCTTCTTGTATTGTTGTATATTTCACTTGCATTGTTGTATATTCTACTTGTGTTGTTGTATATTCTACTTGTATTGTTGTATATTTCACTTGTATTGTTGTATATATTGCTTGTATTGTTGTATATTTCACTTGTATTGTTGTATATATTGCTTGTATTGTTGTATATTTCACTTGTACTGTTGTATATTTCAGCTGTGTCTAAGTACTGAAAGACATAGTCATGCGTTTATGGTAAAGATACGTGACTTTTACCACAGTGAACGGTTATACTTACTGCAGTGTATCCTACATATTCTTACATTCTGGTCGGAGTCGGAAAACCACCCATACAGGGTATGTTTGTTTTATAAAGAATTTCTCTTGACATGCTCATGATAATATCTCAGGCACACGTTTTCTCCCTGATTAAAAACTAGTGCAGGTGTCATAATGGAAAAATGGCATCAAGCTGTAATTTGGCGTGACCCGAAGCTTGTTGAATTGACAAAATCCAGCTAGCTTACAGAACATCTGTGGTTTGACACTTGTGCTGCTCGCTCGTGCACAGTGCTTTTTGTCACTTTTAGGAGAATGTTTGCAGGGCATATGTAGAGGGGGAAATTGCATCACAGATACAGGGAAATTCAGAAACTATAAAATAGTCCTCATTATGTAAAATTGTGATACAATGCCATTTTTAGCTCGACTATTCGATAAGAATAAGTAGAGCTATTGCAGTCACCCGAGCGTCGGCGTCGGCGTAACCACTTATGTTAAAGTTTTTGTAATAGTTCAAATATTTTCAAAGTCCATTGACATATGGCTTTGAAACTTTGCACACTTGTTCACCATCATGACCCCAACCTGTAGACAGGAGAAGGTAACTCTATCAAGCATTTTGACAGAATTATGCCCCTTTTTCGACTTAGAATTTACGTTAAAGTTTTTGTAATAGTTAAAATATTTTCAAAGTCCATTGACATATGGCTTTGAAACTTTGCACACTTGTTTACCATCATGACCCCAACCTGTAGACAGGAGGAGGTAACTGTATCAAGCATTTTGACAGAATTATGCCCCTTTTTCGACTTAGAATTTACGTTAAAGTTTTTGTAATAGTTCAAATATTTTCAAAGTCCATTGACATATGGCTTTGAAACTTTGCACACTTGTTCACCATCATGACCCCAACCTGTAGACAGGAGGAGGTAACTCTATCAAGCATTTTGACAGAATTATGCCCCTTTTTCGACTTAGAATTTACGTTAAAGTTTTTGTAATAGTTCAAATATTTTCAAAGTCCATTGACATATGGCTTTCAAACTTTGCACACTTGTTCACCATCATGACCCCAACCTGTAGACAGGAGGAGGTAACTGTATCAAGCATTTTGACAGAATTATGCCCCTTTTTCGACTTAGAATTTACGTTAAAGTTTTTGTAATAGTTCAAATATTTTCAAAGTCCATTGACATATGGCTTTGAAACTTTGCACACTTGTTCAACATCATGACCCCAATCTGTAAACAGTAGGAGGTAACTCTATCAAGCATTTTGACAGAATTAAGCCCCTTTTTCGACTTAGAATTTACGTTAAAGTTTTTGTAATAGTTCAAATATTTTCAAAGTCCATTGACATATGGCTTTGAAACTTTGCACACTTGTTCACCATCATGACCCCAACCTGTAAACAGGAGGAGGTAACTGTATCAAGCATTTTTTTTTACTATCAAGCACTAAGAATAGTCGAGCGTTGCTGTCCTACCGACAGCTCTTGTTTTTTAAACTTGATCGCCTTCCTCTCTCTAACTATTATTTTAAACTTTTGTAGGAGAATTTTTTTCTAAAATATATTCTTTTAGGGGATTTGAATAGGACAGAATTTCAGCCCTTAATTGGCCTTAAAAAAGCACTGATGCTAGAAGTGGCACCTTAGGTCTTCCTCCACCAGTAAAGCTGGAAAGTTGCTATATGACCTATACTGTGTTGGTGCGACGTAAAACCCAACCAAAAAAAAGAAGAAGAAAAAAAAAACGTTGAATTTTTGTACCTTAACAGTCATAAATAGATTTTCTTCAAATTTCATGTAGCAAAGCCTCTTCGAGAACCTTTTAGTATTTCATTAATCCTGCTTTTGGAGTTATTTTTCATGATTTTTGCAATTGGTAATATTGAAAATTTATGAGGCATTAAATTCTTTTATGTCTACAGGAGGAGTACACTGTTTTTGTGAACATTTTGTTGAAGGACAATGAGCTGATAAAGAAGCTGTTAGAACAGGTTGACCTATTGTGTGATGAACCACTCCCTACTTGGGAAACACACGGAACTCTAATGGTAGGCATTCTTTACCAGAACATGATTTTCTTTTGGCTTGTTTTAAAGCCGATATTCGGGCTTATTCCCAATTGAAAATAGTATATAATTTTCCCAATCCACAGGAAAAATTCCCACTTGAAAGTTACAAAATTAAAATATTGAATAAAAAACTCTAAAATCTTTGAAAATAAGGGCTTCTTCACTGTTACAGTGTTTAAATGTTTGAAGATGCCATTTAGACAGTGATTGTTTGCATTCATTTAATCACTGAAAATTTTCAGTCCTGCTTTTACAAAACATCGCTGAAATTCCCAATTTCATGGGTATGGGTCATGTTCTTAACCCTTTCCCCCATGAGCATATTGTGAAAAATGGCCGTTTTCACTGAAAAGCCTCCTGTTACAAGTTCAAACTGCTATGAAACTATGAAAAATGCTTCAATACTAATCAAACTTGGCACAAATGTTGACTGGACCATTGCCTTTGTAACGACATGCTCAGTCTCAAATTTCCTGTTACCATGGCAACGAGGGGACATCTCAAAATTGCCAAAAATCACTATTTTGCCTCGATTTTTTCCATCAAAATTTATTTCAAAGGACTGCAACTTCTCAAGGGATTGAGATAGAGTCAAAGGCTTTTCAGCGTTGGTTAAACGTTACATTATAATCGACCTGGGGTCAGTTTTAGCCTCTCACAAGTCCAAAATTTTCTTGGCGATGAGGGGGACTCCGCCCCCCTTCAAACCCCCCTAACAGAAGGGGGCACATCCCCCTTCTGGCAACCCCCTGATGTATCTTTTGGATGGGGGGCGGCGCCGAAAAAGTGCTCAATTTTTTTAGCAACATTTCTCAAACGAAAACTTATGTTTGGGGCCCAAATAGGACATTTTTTCACTATTTGAGGCCAAAAAAAGGGGGGGGGGGTCGAAAGTGCGTTGTTTCGCGTATATATGCGGTAAAGGGTTAAAATCATGGGGTAAAAAACCTGTAGAATGAAAATTATTTATATATAATTACAGAATTCATTTTAGTTTTTGATTGTGTAGGAAGCTACAAATTCATAAGCTCATAGAAAGACTCTAGTAAAGGGCTGGGGCAAGTATTATGAGTACTCAGATAATCACGAATCAAAGTGAAAAAATCGAGTTTGAATATTCGTAAGCCCAGAGATCGTGGAATCGCGATCTAATTTTTTTATATACATTCACTGATTCTCACACTCTTAAAATCGAGAAAAATACAATTTGAGTATAAATTATATGAAGTTTACCTAAATACAATTTGCAGGTTAAAGACCATGTACCATGCTGCCGAGCTAGGAAGTAATTGGTTTAAAAAAAAAAATACTCATCCAAAGAATAAAAACATAAACCTAGTTTATATCCAAAGAATAAAAACATAAACCTAGTTTATATTTTATATGTTTAATGTTTAGTATTGTTTTTTTTTTTAAATAAACATGTTTATATAACTAATGTACATGTTTAAATGGGTGTCTTGATAACAAAAGATTTGTGGTTCGATTTGTGAATCGTAAGTGCTGAATCGTGGTTCTGATCGGATCGTCACTTATCCGACGATCCATACCCCTACTCTCAAATCCATACCTGGAACCAACCAGTGCCGAAGAGGGAGTGTAAAGTATCTTGCTATAAAAAGCAGCAGCTTGTCCCTGACGGGGTTTTATCTCATGCAGTTACCAATCCTTAGCATTTTTTTTTGCTACAAAGGATAGATCATAGTTCAACACAAAAATGATCATGGTTACCAGGGGCTGGTGGTTTGTTTTAATTGGTTTAAAACTTTTCTAGTCATTTTTAGTGTAAACTAGATACATACTATGAATGAATTGTTGAGATGAAATTTGATAACATTATTTGAAAGATATGTTGATTTCAGCCTAAAGTTCTGACATACTATATTGAGAATAGGGGAGAGCTTTTGTACACAGCCAGGCATCAGCGTTACACTTTGGTTAAGTTTTTGTGTGCGAGTTGGTATCTCAAAAACTGCTTAAGGGAATGGACTTAAATTTCACTTACCTATTTTTGAGAGCATATAGGAGGTCTCTGTCCAAGGCCTATAACTCTAACATAGATTTTGACTGATTTATGGCCCTTTTTGAACTAAGAAAATTCAGTGTTTTCCACCTCTTGTTTTACATTCAGGCATTGAGAATAGTCAAGCGAACTATCTTACTGACAACTCTTGTTATTTACATGATTATTTAATAATTTCAGAATGAAAGACAGGCTTTGGTATGGGCGCATCAAAATATGAAAGAACAAGTATGTTGAATTAATACTTCATAGTGTGAAATTAAATTTTATGTTTAAGCCTATTAAAGTGGTTTTCAGCTTTTCTCTATTGTTGGTAAAACAATTCCTCTATTGTTTCAAACTAAGTATTTTAGTAATTTTATCTTGGAAATGTGAATCATATCACTGTAAGGCCTTCTTCAATACAGCATCCTAAGAGCTATTTATAATCCATCAGTGACGTCCATTTCTAAAAATAGAAAATCCGGAATCTGGAAACGAATCGTTGGGTTTACTAATTTACATACATGTTTAGAGAGTGTACCAGTAGATTAGAGGTATAGAGGGGATGCCTTATAATGTTTATGTATTTTAATGTTGCCAAATTTCATTTTCCACCTTAATTCTTTTGATTTCACTAATTATATGAAACTGTTTATCCAAAAAAATGATACAGTGAACATTTAGAAAAGCTGAAGGTCGCTTTATATGAGATATTTAATATTTTGATGAATTGTCTTTGGCACAAAAATGCATTATATGATTGATGCTAACACAGATGCTGAAGTTAACAAGACTGCATGAATTGTGTATGTTATACATGTTTATTTATTGTCATCAAATAAAACTCATATGAGCAACGAACATGTGGAAAAATTGGGTATTACTGGTTAGAAATCCTGGAAAGCTGGCGAGTTAGACTTACTGTTGAGATATATGTATGACCAAAAATGTGGTTAATGTGTGTGTTAAATCCAATCAAACAATCATAATTAACTTAAAGGCAAAAAAAGTACAAATAGGGTCTCTGCCCATTCTCTTTTAACACGATGACCTATGATCCCTTTATTGCGTCTGAGGTATTTCTGAATTTTTTTCTTATGATGGTTGATATATTATCACAAGTCACTGATTCAGGTTTTTCAGAATTTTTTTCATATGATGGTTGATATAATATAATTATTCACTGATTCAGGTTTGAAGACACTGTAAAAGATTTGAATTGTTCTTTTTTAACTGCTTTTTTGTTTCCAACCAGAATGAACTGTTAAAGATACTTCTAGTGTATTGGAAGGAATTTGAAGCCAATGCACCAGACTTCAACAGATTATTAGACAAATTTAAGGTAATTTTTTCTTTTTCACTTGTTTTTAACAGTAATTTTTATTATCATTTTACATGCACAAGTACATGCTATGTAAGTTTATTTCTAAGTATTGAGTAGCAGAAAATTGATTCTCAGTTTTTAGAAACTTTGATTTTCATCTTTATAAGTTGAAGAACATAAATGAAGCAGATGCTATCTTACACATGAAATAAAATTTTGGCAATGGTTGAAAAATTCCATGTATGAGATAAAAAAGCCAATATATTCATAAGCTTGCATCTCTGGGTCCAGGGAAATACTAGTGTCTCATTTCATGTAAAAGTATACAGTCCAAGTGCTTTAGTTAGTGACAGGGAAATATTGGTGAATTTCTTGAATTCATGAAAATCACTAAAATTTCCTCTAGCGTAAATATCAATCAACCTATTTCACACTACTCTGACATTTGCCAATTTGTTAATTATTCCTCATGTGAAATGTCTTCTTTTAGACACACGGAAATTTCCACTTATACAGCATATCTGTAGTGTAATTTAACTTTTTATGACATAATTTTGAAGGATAGGAGCTTTATGTATGATTAGATAAATTATTGAAATATGTTTGTATGGTATTGTGATCATATGAAAAATTTTAATTTTGAAAAAGAATTATTCCAAAACATACCACACTTGCAAAAAATTATGTATTTATAGAATTATGCAAATAAAACAATTTTCAAACATCGAAGAATGTGTAAAATGTGTACAGCAAATATTTGTGCACATTATATTTCATCAATGAATTATATGCATTCATTTCTTATTGAAAAATTTGACTTAGAATTTATAGAAAATAAATTTCTAATTACCTCCCTTTATTGACATGAAATGTTAAATTAGGTGATATCTTTATAAATAATGCTTATTTGAACTTAAAATATTGACAAATCTTAATTTAAGCATCATATTTATGAAAAAAAACCATGAAAAAAATGTGTTACAGGATCTCTATATCACAGAGTCAAATTCTATGTAACAACTGTGTCAATAATCGATCATATGATTATTGAATCAACATTATTTTACTGTTTATAAATTTAATAAAGAAATAAAATATTTTGTTAGGTATCACCTACTATCATTTGACATTATAAGTTTAAAAAAAGAATCTGTTGGTATAGTAATAAAAAGGTGTGATAAATCCTGTTATAAATGATATTGAGATTTAAACCTTGACCTATTAGCAGTGACTGAATTAACCCATGTGACCAGTGCAGACCAAGATCAGCTGATACATAAATACTCTCTGATCATGGTCCGCACTGTTCCCTATTAGTTAAGTACTCATTTTGAGAGTTTCCCTAAAAATGATGAATGGTTTCTCCTAGGGATGGAAACGAATACAAAAATCAATACTCGAGTACTCGGTCATTTTTAGCTCGACTATACGAAGAATATGGAGAGCTGTCCTACTCGCCCCGGCGTCCGCGTCCAGATTTTAGATTAAAGTTTTGGTGCAGTAAAATATTTTTCACTATAACTTTGTCATTTCTTAAGGTATCAACTTCAAACTTCAAATATATGTTCCTTATCATCAACCACATCTTATGTGACAAGGTTCATAACTCTAGCACCAATATTTTCAGATTTATCTCCCCTTGAACTTAGAATTTTCAATAAAAAATACTATTTTTTACTGTTACTTCTTTATTTCTTAAGGGATCAACCTCATACTTCAAATATATGTACCTTATCATCATCTGACAAGGTTCATAACTCTAGCACCAATATTTTCAGATTTATCTCCCCTTGAACTTAGAATTTTCCTCAAAAAGTACTATTTCTTACTGTTTCTTCTTTATTTCTTAAGGGATCAACCTCATACTTCAAATATATTTACGTTATCATCATCCCCATCTTATGTGACAAGGTTCATAACTCTAGCACCAATATTTTCAGATTTATCTCCCTTTGAACTTAGAATTTTCCATAAAAAATATTATTTTTTACTGTTACTTATTTATTTCTAAAGGGATCAACTTCATACTTCAAATATATTTACGTTATCATCATCCACATCTTATGTGACAAGGTTCATAACTCTAGCACCAATAATGCAAAAATTATCTCCCCATAAACTTAGATTTTTTTACTAGAAAAATGTTATTTTTAGCTCACCTGTCACAAAGTGACAGGGTGAGCTTTTGTGATAGCTTTTCGTCCGGCGTCCGTAAACTTTTACTTTAAATGACATCTCCTCATAAACCACTAAGCCAATTTCATCCAAACTTCACAGGAATGTTCCTTTGGTGGTCACCTTTAAAAATTGTTCAAAGAATTTAATTCCATGCAGAACTCTGGTTGCCATGGCAACCGAAAGAAAAAACTTTAAATATCTTCTTTTAAAAAACCATAAGAGCTAGAGCTTAGATATTTGGCATGAAACATCTTCTAGTGAGTGTGTACCAAGTTTGTTCAAATAAAAGCCCTGGGGTCAAAATTGGCCCAGCCCCGGGGTGTCATTGATTTTCCCTATATGCATATAGTAAAAACTTTAAAAATCTTCTTTTAAAGAACTCAAAGAGCTATGGCTAAGATATTGAGCATCAAACATGTTCTAATAGGTGTCTACCAAGTTTGTTCAAATAAAAGCCCTGGGGTCAAAATTGGCCCCGCCCCAGGGGGTCATTGATTTTCCCTATATGCATATAGTAAAAACTTAAAAAATCTTCTTTTAAAGAACCAAAAGAGTTAGAGCTAAGATATTTAGCATGAAACATGTTCTAATAAGTGTCTACCAAGTTTGTTCAAATAAAAGCCCTGGGGTCAAAATTGGCCCAGCCCCGGGGGGTCATTGATTTTCCTTATATGTGTATAGCAAAAACTTAAAAAATCTTCTTTGAAAAAACCCAAATAGCTAGAGTTAAGATAGTAAGCATGAAACATCCTTTAGTGAGTGTCTACAAAGTTTGTTCAAATAAAAGACCTGGGGTCAAAATTGGCCCCGCCCCGGGGTCATTGATTTTAAACTATATGTGTATAGTAAAAACTTTAAAAAAATCTTCTTTTAAAAAGCCCAATGAGCTACAGCTTAGATGTTTAGCATGAAACATCTTATTATGGGTGTCTACCAAGTTTGTGCAAGTAAAAGCCCTTGGTTTAAATTGGCCCTGCAACCTTTGGGGTGGGTGGGGGTTGGGGGGCCTATATACAGGTGAGCGACCTCAGGGCCATCATGGCCCTCTTGTTTATTATAACTTTTTTATTTTTAAAGGTATCTACCTCAAACTTCAAATACTTATTCCTTATCATCAATTACATTTTATGTGGCAATGTTCATAACTCTTGAAGCAATATTTACACATTTATCTCTCTTTTGAACTTAGGATTTTCTTTAAGAAATATAATAACTTCTTTACTTTTTAAGGTATCTACTTCAAACTTCAAATATATATTTCTTATTATTACACAAATGTTGTGTGACAAGGTCCATAACTCTAGCATGATTATTTCTAGAATTATTCCCCTTGATCTTGGAATTTATGTTAACAAATATTATTTTTTTACTATAACTTAATACATAATTATACATAATTGATTTTTCATTCATAGTTTTGTCCTCCTTACTGCGTCCAGTATTTTATTAGTCGAGCTTCGCTGTCTTCTGTGACAGCTCTTGTTCCGATCAAGTACTCGGTTATTTGGATGATTTCCAGTGATCTTCAAAGTTTATCTCACAATATCAACACCGTCTACATGCTACTTTCGTTTTCTATTTAAATTCATAGAATTCATAACTATAAATAGAACTTCACGGGAGACAAATTAATTCAACAACATTATATTTTACAACGTTTTAATTAATGCAATATCAAGTTTAAAACATGTATCGCAGTTCATATATATTTTTTCGTCTTGAAATAATATAGACTGATCGGCGGCAAGAAAAGTTTAAATACTTGTTACCTTTATTATTTCATTCATAATAGCAATCGGCCCTTTGTTGTTTTCAAAACAGTTACTTCCGCTACAAACTGTTGCACAATTAAAGGTAATTGAATATCATAAGAGCTGGATGACATAAGCGACACAGGTGCGCGTGTCCAACTGTTGATTGCCTTGGTAAATTTATGATGTCATTTTCGCACCTCTGCAAGGATGTTTTGATTGCATTGAACAGGTTTTTACGAAGATACATGCATATCTCCGAATTTCTGAACTAATTGGACACACCAATCTTTCTAAATGGTTAAAAAATATAAATAATATATTTTTTCCGAATAATCGAATATCAATTTCGTTAACCAATATTCAGACGTTGGATTGAGTACTCGGTTAACCGGTTACTCGTTGCCTTCCCTAGTTTCTCCAGATTGAAAGATGGATCAGTCAATTTAAGATAATTAGTGTGGTAAGGGTTAAACTTATTATTTCAGAGGCAAGGTTTTGGTAGAAGACAGTCGTACAAACACATCCTTGACGAGTCGTTTGATAGATTAACAAAACAAATTGGGTATTTAACTCTTTTGTTATTGTATTTAAAGCTTTTTATAGATGTTTTAGAAACTATTTCCTTGTTCGTTTTTAATTGCTGAGTAATGAGTAAGAGGTTTTTTTTAAGGATTGTTGTTTATAATTTTTGTGGGTTTGAATCCTTATTGTGTGTTTAAATCCTTACACGTAAAGAAACTATATACCTCCTGTAGGCAGGATTAAGTTGTTTTATGTCCGAAAAAACTAAACTGGTGATTTATTTACATAACAGAAAAATTTGTGAAAATTAAATAGTTAAAAATTTTGATTTGGCAAATTGCTAATTCACGATATATATTATAATAGTTTGATGAAGGTCACTCTGGTTCAATACTAGTGTATAAGCATTGTTAGAATGACACAATATGGTTTAGCCTCCAAGGTTTTCATCAGCTTTCACCAGTGAAGGCTGGAAAATTATCATTTAACCTTTAAAAATGATTTGGCTTAAATCCAATCATAATGATCCTAATCCAATCAAAATGACCCAAATCCAATCAAAATGACCCAAATCCAATCAAAATGACTCAAATCCAATCATAATGACCCATATCCAATCATAATGACCCATATCCAATCAGAATGACCCAAATCCAATCATAATGACCCAAATCCGATCAAAATGACCCAAATCCAATCAAAATGACCCAAATCCAATCATAATGACCCATATCCAATCAGAATGACCCAAATCCAATCATAATGACCCAAATCCAATCAAAATGACCAAAATCCAATCATAATGACCCATATACAATCAGAATGACCCAAATCCAATCAAAATGGCCTAAATTCATTAAGAAAAGCCCAAATAGCTGTATTATTTGTACATTTATAGTTAAATATAAATGAAAACTTTTCTCTGTTTTAGATGCACTTACAGTATAACATTATACCGTTGAATATTTTCTTTAAGTCGGCTCAAAAATATTTTGTTAAATGAAAGTATTTATGTTAGTTTGTAAAGTAATTAGTTTTGCTTCTTTTTTCCCTGTGATAATAGGTCATTAGAAGTTCTGGTGCTACTTCAAGCCATGGACATGGAGACAGTGGAGAGGCTGAGCTATACTAAATGGTTAGTTACGAACATTATTATTAATGAGCTGCGTCATGACAAAACCAACATAGGCCGTTTGCGACCAGCATGGATCCAGACCAGCCTGGGCATCTGCGCAGTATGATCAGGATCCATGTTGTTCGCTTACAAACCTTATTACAAGTAGAGAAACTGATAGCAAACAGCATGGATCCTGATCAGACTGCGCCGATGAGCAGGCTGGTCTGGATCCATGCTGGTCGCAAACCCATTATGTTGGTTTTGTCATGGTGAGGCTCATTTATCACATACCTGTGTTGATTTTGTGACTCTGTAAATATGGTATTGCACGGCTATGCATATATTTTGAGGTTACATCATTTATGTTAAACAAACATAGTGTATGTTAAACAAACAAAGTGTTAAGACATGCTAAATATTATGTGTTACACTATAGGCATGTCAATGAATAATGATACTTTTGCGCTTTTAACATTCTTTATGTAATTGGGTATGTGATAAATGATATTCGTGTAGGTTCATTACTGAATTTAGAGGCTCGCATTTTATTCAACTCGTTCAATAACCTACATTTTCAATATCCTCTAGTTCTTACAATTTGTGATTTTAAGCTCATCTCTTAAAAAAAAACCAATGAGTTTTTATGATGGCTACAACGTCATTGTCGTAGTTTTCATTGTCGTCGTCATGCAAGGACTTAATTGTTGCACATTATTCAAACATTTTAAAAATTATCAACTTGAAACTTGGAATATTTTATTATCATGACACACTGCAGTTGTTTGCAAAGGGGCATAATTCTGAAAGCTATATTTTTTGAAGTTACAAATGTATGCCCCTTTTTTAGATAAGAATTTTCATCTGGACGCTATGTGATCTCAATTGTGTTGGTGTGCCATAAAACCAAACAGACACAGTTTGTGATCAAATTGTTAAGCCGTTTACTAATATAAGATACCTTTAGTTTTGTAAGGAACTGCTAGTTACTTCTGAATAGGCCAGAGCAGTTGTACAGCGTGAATGACCAATGAAAGGATTTCATGGGTCAGTCACAAAGAAAATGACGTGAACTGTCTGTTAATTTCACCAGAGACACCTAATTCATACTCCCAACGCTCCACCAATTAGCTAACCGGGTGAGTGAACTGTTCGGTCTACAGTTAAACATAGTTATTTAAGTTGATTGCGAAACAAGTTCTTGCAACTTATATTTATCACTTTCGAGTCCCCTTCCTGGAACCACCTAGTACTGATGTCATATAAAGATACATAGTCGTGACCCGATTAGGGCTCGAACCCATGATCCCTGGGTTGAGAAGCAGACACCTTAACCACTAAGCTGTTCGGTCTAGTATGGCTTTATAATGCCATACTTCATAGGCAAATTGATATCGCTGATAGCTCTATTACACTAGGTATGCATGATAAAGATGATACATTAGTAAAAAATATTTTTGAGTTTCATTAGTAATACATTTTGATATGTTTATTCCAGTTTCGATGATCACAGTTTGTTAAAGGACAAAGCAACATTCCAGTCTGTAGAAAATTCAATGCAATTACTGGGCTCGGATCAGCCACATAGTCCTTTACTGCTCAGTTGGGCTGTGATCAGACAGCTGTACCTGGAAGGAGATGGGGCAAATATAACAAGGAAGTATGGGAACCAGGCATTACAACTGTATGTGTTCAATTTTCTCTCTGAGATGCTGGACTTGGAACCAATCTCTGGAAAATCTGTGAGTGACTTACTTGTTTTGCTAGGCCTTAAAAAAGTAGAAAAAAAATGTTTCCCCTCCCACTACCTGCACACACAAGTCACTGCTACCCATAAAAATTTAATTGTAAAAAAACAAAATCCCCTTAGATATGGAAAGATATATGGTGATTGTTTACTGCAACATGGTGATTGTTTACTGCATCATGATGCTTGTTTACTGTAACATGGTGATTGTTTACTGTAACATGGTGATTGTTTACTGTAACATGGTGATTGTCTACTGCAACATGGTGATTGTCTACTGTAACATGGTGATTGTTTACTGTAACATGGTGATTGTTTACTGTAACATGGTGATTGTTTACTGTAACATGGTGATTGTCTACTGCAACATGGTGATTGTCTACTGCAACATGATGAAGTATATTTCAACATACAGAAACTGATTGCAACATGGTGATTGTTAACTACAATCTGGTGATTGTTTACTGCAACATTGTGATTGTTTATTGTAACATAGAGGATTGTGTACTTCAGCATGAAGTTTACTGTAAAATGGTGATTGTTTACCGTTACATGGAGATTGTTTACTGTAACATGGTGATTGTTACTGCAACATGATGATTGTTTACTGTAATATGGTGATTGTTTACTGTAACATGATGATTGTTTACTGCAACATGATGATTGTTTACTGTAACATGGTTATTGTTTATTATTACCTGATACCTTATATAAATGTAATTTGGTATTTTTTACTGTTTTCTGAAATTCCAAAAACATCAACGTTCGCGAACTGTTGACCGGTCAATAGTTTCGACTGTTTCCCTCGCGTGTTCTGACATCATAGAGGATCCCACTTGAAGTGTCCATCGATCTTGATCATGAACCAGATGTGACGTGACATAAAGTATTAAGTTTAATTATGAACATATGTGCAAAACTATTTTCTTGTTCCTTTTTTCTTCTGCAAGTACTATTAAAACAGTAATTGATCAGGTAATAAAACAGTTATTTCATATGTGATTTTGGGAACAGTCAAACAGTTGTCCCTCGGTGTCGGGATAGTGTTTTGAACTGTTGTCCTCGGCCTACGGCCTTGGGCAACAGTTCAAAACACTACCCCCTCCACCTCGGGCCAACAGTTTGACTGTTCCCAAATTACATATGAAATAACTGTATACTGTTACATGATATTTGTTTGCTGTAACATTATGATTGTTTATTGTAGCATGGTGATTGTTTACTGTAACATGGTGATTATTTACTGCAACATGGTGATGAAAGTTTTAGTTGTTTATTAGCAAATCTGTTACATTTCAGCTATGTTGGGGTTACTCATCATTTAATCAATGTTAAGCATGAAAGTTTTTTTTTCAAGATTAAACTTTTTTTTTAAATTTCTTTTGTAGATAACAGCTTCACTTTCCCACTGTGTTATTTACACAGTTTTATTAGCCGCCCTGACAGCCTTCGATGAATCAACATTGACCAGAAATAATTCGGAAATGCAGGTATAGACTTTCATAAATAGTATTAACACTAAGTATTTATAATATTTAATTTAGGGGCTTGTCTGGCTGAGTGGTTAAAGGTGGCTGATTTCAGATCACTTGACCATCATTGTTGTGGGTTTGAATCCCATCAGAGGCCATGAATTCAGTCATTAGAGCCAGCCATGCAGCCAGAAATAAGATAGAAGGTATGAAAAGACTTGAATGTCCACCTGAACAGCTTAATAATATCTGTCTGCCCATATAGTGCCAATGATATTGAATAGCTAGAAATTAAAATGTGTATGTACCAAGTGGAATCCAAAGCTTCCGTTACATAGAAGGTGGTTCTACACAGGTTCCCTCTCATGCATGAAGTAACAAAGTGTGGGCATTTGAGATCTTTATCTAGCATTAAAGCTGGAAAGTTGCCATATTATCTTAGCAGTGCTAAATTGACTTTAAAACCCAACAACAGTATACTGTTCAAAACTTAATGATTAAGCCATTTCATGTCCAAATGACGTCAAATTCGGACATAATGTCAATAAAATATAATCAAACGTGTTGATGGAATATATGGACAAACAGATAATAAACTATGAAAAAAAAATAAAAAAAATAGAAATACAACTTAGATTCCATAACTATATTTTGATGTGCTGTGCCAGGTGCGTGTTAACATGGTTATTCAATATTACAGGAAACTCACGTTTAGCACAATAAATTAATTAATTTATTCTTAAATTGTAGGAACATTTTACGATTGCTGTACAAATGAAAATATTCTAAATTGAGTGAAATATGAATATACAAAACTCTTAGTCCTATAACTTTTGAACAACCCTCATGTAATGTACTCTTTCTTCAGAGTAAAGAAAATGATATGATACAATGTTTTAATTCATTTCTCTAATATTATGATTACAGGATTTATATGATATCACCTGTAAATTGATGGGGAGAGATTTCATTGCGGGCAATGTTTGGAAAAAGGTAGCTTTTACTTTATATTCCTAGTGCAGCATTTATGACAAGGTTTTTAAATATGCCTTACTATTTCTGTAGAAGTGGTTAAGTAAGGGACGCGTAAATTTTGGCTGTAAATATCAAACAACCTGTTATTAGATTCAACCCTTGCATGATTCGCTTATATTTCCTCAAGCCAAATGTCTAAAATTTTAAATTCACCACAATATCCACTTATACAGTAAATTTGTGTAATGACCTTGACTTTCTGTGTTTTTTGAGCTCTCATATTGTTTCTGTACGTCATCTCAATACAAAATGCCTGGAACAGACTAGAGATTTTCACATTTTACTTCTTCTGCTAAATGATAAAGGTCTATGGCTATAGATTTCTAGCCTTACCTCTTTGATTCCTAGCCTTTCCACTTTGATTCCTAGCTTTACCTCTTGATTCCTAGCCTTTCCACTTTGATTCCTAGCCTTACCTGTTTGATTCCTAGCCTTTCCACTTTGATTCCTAGCCTTACCTATTGATTCCTAGCCTTTCCACTTTGATTCCTAGCCTGACCTGTTTGATTCCTAGCCTTTCCACTTTTATTCCTAGCCTTACCTATTGATTCCTAGCCTTACCTCTTAGATTTCTAGCCTTATACCTCTTTCAATTGAGAAAGTTTCTGGATAGTCTGTGGTTCTATTCAGGTGATAGTATGTAAGTTTAACAAGATGTTCATAGGTCTTTCTCAACTTTTAAAATTTATGTAAGGAAAGTGCTGTTTGACTTGATTAACAGTTTTGATGTTTCATTTAATTGAATATTATTTACACGGGTGGGGCATAATTTCTCTGGGACAATTGATTTCAGACAATGAGCCTATCGGTCATTTGTCTGTTAGCACTGATTCAAAAAACCATGTGGGAAAAGTAGTTTGACACTGGACATTTTTGAAGAAATTGGTAATTACTGGTTAGTTATCCAGGAAAATTTGTAAGGTGGATTGACTGCAGCAATATGTCAAAAACATATGTAAATAACTTAATATCCATGTAAAAACCAAATAAATAACAAGCATGTTTCAAATGTATAAGCTATATTTAGATAGCAATATTTCTCACATGTCAAATAGTTTAATGCCTTTGAATGTATATATGTATTTAGAATGTATAATTATACATGTATGTATATATATTTACAGGGATTAGAGCAAGGTGTAGGGAACATGTACCAGTCAGCTTTACTCAACTTCCCGCTGGATTTCTCAACACTTGTGAAACTAAGTACAGCCTTAGCCTCAGCCAATGCTGACAGTGCATCTAAGGTATTTAAAATACTTATAACACATCATTCCCAGGTTTTACGCACGGGAAGGAGTTTTTTTAGCCTATTTCCATTTTCAGTAATTGTTCAAAATTTCAAGAATTGGTAACAAGTAGTTTTTTAAAAATATTTTTCCTTCATAAGTTCAAGCCATGACAATTTTTTTTTTAAAAACAAAAGGTTTATTATATACTTATAAATGAAATATTGAGAAATATTTATGAAATAAAATGCGTATTTTCATTTTCCGTATTTTCACTGTAAAAATTTATTTTTCACTGCAGTGAAACATATTTTCTGTATTTTCACTGGTGTGTTGCCGGACTACTTTCTTTCAAATTCTGCCAGTACACAAAATTTCAGGTGAAGTCTTTCAAATTTTAAAGTCAAAAAGGTGAAAAATGTATATAATAAACAGAAAATTCAAGTTTTTTCTATAAATACATGATTTATTTTCATCTTGTGGCATGAAAATTACCATATTTCACTCGTGGCTACCGCCACTCATGAAATATTTATTTTCATACCACTCGATGAAAATAAATCATGTATTTATAGAAAAAACTTGAATATCCTCTATATATTCTTTTCAGTCTGTGAATGCAAACTGAATAAAAAAACAAAAATGTTTAATGGAATTCCATAAAATTTTGTATTTCAATAAAAGATAAAATGAAAAACATAAAATAATAGTAAAATTAAGGTTTGTAATACTTAAAACTTATTTGCCCTTGAAATGCCCTGCGAAAAACAAAAACAAAAATAATTTATGGGCAGATAACTCTTAACAAGGTCAGTGAACATATTCTTATATAAATAAAACGTTTATGTAATGTCAAGCTGTTTTAAGTTGACATCTATGTGTAACCCTAGCATACACCTTTTATGAGATTGTTCTAAGATTTCTGAGTCAAGTGATGGTATAACGTGACTGGATGGGATATGGTAGAGAAATGTCTATGGAGGGGGTAAATTTCTGTTAATAAAGCCATTTTGTATAAAGTGGCATTTTAAAATTGGGAATTCACTTCATTGTCATCTCAAGTAATTGAATCACTCCGCAAGGAGTATACTCGCAATTACATCAATGTAGAGAACTATGAATTATTCATTTTCATATTTTCACTGTAAAAATTAATTTTTCACTGCAGTGAAATATATATTCTGTATTTTAATTGGTGTCTTGCTAGACTTCTTTCTTCTAAAGTCAGCTTGTACAAAATTTACAGGGAAGTTATTCAAATGTTTATGTCAAAAACGGAGAATAATGTTTATTTTAAACAGAAAAGTAAAGTTTCTTTTCATCTTGATTGACTTATGGCTTAGGAAATATTTATTTTCATACAATTTGATGAAAATAAATCCTGTATTTATAGAAAAAAAACGTGAATATCCTCTATGTGTTATTTTATAATGTTGACAGGTTTTGGAGTTGTGGTCAGAACTACCAAGGTACACAGAATATCTGGATAGGAACAGTTCACATGACCTCAGATTTCCCAGTGACCCTTGGTTGCCAGTTGGAAAAGGGATAAAACCCCCCTATGGTGCTGTGGGAAATTTTTTATATAGTGTATTATAAATTTTGTTGGAAAAATAATTTACATTTAGATAAATGTTCTTGTTCAAGGAATGCTTGTTATTGCAATTTTTCAACATGCTGTGCCAATTTTGGGGCCCTTTTAGGCAGGTTGTAGTTTATTTTGGGATACTGGATAATTCTGAATGCCTACTTCTTTTTAAGATGGGCTGAACACTTTTTAATTTAAGTTTTGGACATAAAAAAACCCAAAACTTTTTGCTTGAGGAGGTAGGTTGAAATTTAAATTTATGAGTTTCCGACAATGAATAATTGAACAGTTCTAAATTAATTACCTTGCTTGAAGGGAGATAGGTTGAACACTGTTAAATTTCAATTTCGGAGCAGTTTTAAATTAGAAGGTGTCATGAAAAGTTATTAGTAATATCAAGCATTCAAATAAAATGATTAAAGCTAGCCTTATATGTATACTTCCTGTTTACATCTATTTGCTTCACTGCATCGAATTGAGTCAAGTTAGCCCTTATTATTCCATTAATAGATCTTAAAATGTGAAAAAAAATTAAACACCGTCATATTTTGCATGAAATATGCAAAGTGTCATTTGTAAAACAAATGTATATACAAAGATTATATTGAACACCAAAAATATATTTGTTAAGCTTCCTTTGTTACTCATCTGTATGTCAACAATGTTACAGTGAAGTTATACTGTATAGGGCTATTTGAAATTTGATCTATATTTAGGAGATTTCCGGATAGCCAGCTGGTGTTATATTTGGGCAGTTGATAACTACAGGTGGGAAAAACCAGTGTCTAATCTTGAAATACCCATAATTCAATGGGAAGTTACTTACGATGGATGGCCAGTTATTGAAGGGTGAAATTCAGGAATTACTCAGTCAAGTTTTGCCAGAGGTGCAGGTAGGGAGAAAAGAGTTCTTTTAAAAGCTCCTACTATTAGGGAGTGGGTATATAGATATGCCCTTGTCAGTATTGATCCCCCTAAGGTGACTGAATAGTGGAAGATGGGGGTATTTATGTCGTATTGACACATTTATAAATTGAAAGGTTCCAGACAGGCTCCCCACTTTACATTTAAATTTCGTCAGGTGAAAAGTGGAATTTCAAAAGCCCAAATATTTGTGTCACAGTTACAAACCTTTTAGTATAAGGGAGAAAATATTTAAGAGACTGTGTAGCTCAGTCGGTTTATAACTCGGAGTCAGTTATTTGTTTTTTTCTGTATTCCTTAAAAATCATTTGATGTTAAATTTACAGGGGGAAGTATGTCATCATATAAAACTGTTCACTAATTTAGGAGAAAGTGGTGATGAAGCTTATGCAGAAGCCCCTGAAAATGAGAGGGGTTTTGGGTTATTAAAAGGGGTCCACATTTTCTCCTGTACATTTTTTCCTTATTTTTGGTAGTGGGAAAGACAAATTTAAAGGTTGATTTCCTTTTTTTGGAAATTTTTTCCTGTCATTTTTTTTTAGGGATTGAAGGCCCCAAAATCATAAAACATAAAATTTAATAATGTTTTTTTGCAAAAATGGTCAAAAAGGCTAGGTAATTTCCATTTTTTGACAGTAGCTTTTTCTAATTTAAAAAACTTTAAACTAGCTAAAGAACATTAAATGAACTATCTTAATAACTCTTGAGTTTTGGCTTAAAAGGAACTAACCATGTTGTACACCAGTAGGCCTAACCTTTTTTTTTTTAAAAACGGGGGAAACAAGGGCCACAGCTCCCCTTTTGGATTGCTGGTTTTTTTGCAAATTGAGCCGTTTCACGACAAAACCAAGGTAATGGGTTGGCAACCAGTATGGATCCAGACCAGCCTGCGCGTATTGCGCAGTCTGATCAGGATCCATGCTGTTCGCTTACCAACCCTATTACAAGTAGAGAAACTGATAGCGAACAGCATGGATCCTGATCAGACTGAGCGGATGCGCAGGCTGGTCTGGATCCATGCTGGTCGCAAACCAATTATGTTGGTTTTGTCATGACGTGGCCCAATTATGTTTATTTTTAGGTATGGTTCAGCCAGTACAGGTAGAGCGAGTTACTGATATTGCCCAGTTTGTTCGAGCAATATGTAGGTCACAGCCTTCAGCAGCAGACGGCCTCACAGACATCATAGTTCTGTTGTACACACTCATTCAGAGGTATATTGTCTATCAACAGACATGTTATATCTCAAACTTTTTGGCACATTGCCAAGACAGATTATTTTTTAGTAACGCAAAGAACATCCACTTTGTGTACTTCAGTTACACATTTTTTTAAACATTTATCCTCATTTACATTCTCTGTAGAATCTGAATCAGTTTAAAATATATTTTAATGAAACAAATACAATGTAACTGGTGACATGTTGAGTTTCCAGGGCCGTCAAAACCTGACTTTGACTCACTTGTCTGTTTATATGTGAAGCAATACGTGCTTATTTTGAATTTATTTCCTAAATTTATTTTGAATAAATTTCCTAAAATTGATTAATGGTTTTGTCCAGATTGATAGATGGACAAGTCCATTTAAGATATTCAGTATAGTAATGGTGTAAAAGAAATCTTATATTGTAATGAAATGTCAAAAATATATCATTTTTATTAGCTCAACTTTTCAAAGAATAAGGAGAGCAATTATATTTGACTAGGCATATTGCAGTCATGCTTTGGTTAAGTGTTTGCGGGCAAGTTGATATCTTCAAAACTACAGAAGAAAATGAGTTGGTACTTCGCACACTTACGAATGTCTAACATGATGTGTACAAGTCCCATAATTCTGACTTACCTGAGTTATGCCCCTTTTCTTACTGTCAAGCACTTGAAATAGTGGAGTGCGCTGACAGCTCTTGTTTAAAACAATTTGTTTGATAAGCTGTGGTTTTAGTACATTGCTTTCACTGTGGATTATTTCTAGGTTTTCATCATTCAATCCCCCCACCTCTTGAGTTATTGCTGCCTGTATTGATTGTATAACATGTGTAGCTAAGCTCCACCCAAAAGAGGCGTGGCATGATATGAAACAGACAGGACTCCTCCCCTTTTTGACAGAAAATATTGACAACATGGCAGAAAGTTCTCAGGTAATAATAAAGTACATGTATAAAGTTTCATTTCAATAAAGTGAATACAAATAAAGGTTAAAACTTACAAAATCTGATATTAAAAAACATTTTTTTTTTAAACTTTATGGAAATTTAAAGTTGTCACAGTTAACTGAAATGGATGAAACATTTGGCTGGATGCTGACCTTTTGGACCTTAACGTGGCAAATATAAAGAGAAATAAAAAGTTGAGAATTAATCTGCGCCCTTTAGGAATTAAATGGTTTTGTTTGTTTTTTATTTTATTGAAATTTTTTTTAAGGAAGAAAAAAAACCCGGGATAATTTTGCTTATTTTTGGGAATAAAACCCCAATAACTTAATTTAATAGTTTTGAAATTTTGCTGAACAGAATTTTAAAGAAAAACTGTATTTTTGTATTTATTTTGAGAAATTTTGAAAAGACCCTGTACCCCATCAATTTTTTTTTTTTTCAGTGGTCGAGGTTTTTAGCCCCGGCCCATATGGTTTTTGCTTGCGGGTTTTTGGGGAAATCCCCAAAAGGGGGGTAAACAGGTCATGTGGCATTTTTGATTTATTGGGAAATTTTTTATGGTAAGTTGAATTTATTTGATAAATTTTTTGATTTAAAATGGAGGTCAAAACCGAAAATCCAAATTAATTTTTTAGTTTTTGGCATCGGGGCATTGATGACCTAGCTACCTTTCAAAGGTGTTTTGCAGCATTTACATAGAGGCAAAATTAAAACTCAGTGATTTTTTTTTCAATTTTCAAAATCAACCTGTTGGCTTTCTTGAAGGGGAAAATATAGGTTGATAAATCAGAAATGGGGAAAATCAAATTCCAACATTACTGAGAATGGAATTTACCACACATTTTATAAATTTTCAAATTCAATTTAACATGCATGGTACATAGCAGAGTCTATCTATAGGACTAGCTGATATGTCAGCTGCTGTTAAGTCATGGGTTTGGTAAAGAATTGTGCACAGGGCATTTTATGGGAAATATTTAGCACCTTAAAAAACGTTTTCGGGGTTTTCCATATAGACATATAGGCAAAATTAAAAAAAACTGTTTCAATAGAATTTCTTTAAAAAAACTTGGGCAATGTTGTAAGAATATGATAAACAGAAAACATTTTTGAAGTGAAAAAAAAATTGGGGGGGTTTTTTTG